TTAAACTATGCTAAACTTGCTACATGTTCATAAGCTCATATAATACTAAACTTACATGTTCGTAAGCTCATAAAATGTGTATATATGTGTGTTGATCGTGGATATAATTAGTTTATTGAGACAAAAGGTTAAAGGATCGTTTTTGTATAATGTTAAAGAAATCTTCGAAGTACATTCGTGCGTATCTGTAATTACAGTAACGTAAACATCACATTAGTCCGAGGAAGACATAAAGGACGAAACGTCAGCGAAAAAATATTTTCCACTTTATGATTAATTTTCCTAATAAATTTCTGGCATATAAAAATGTGTATATCAATTCCCCACCCCTCATTTAAGCACGGAATAATTTTTATAGATAGATAAATCCAAATGATATAAGTCATGCAAATGAAAACAATATTCCTTATAGATAAATAAATTATGCTTAGTATATAATAATAATTTATAATAGAATAATTAATTATAGTATAGAAACAGTGTATAATTTATCTATTTATTCCATTATACAATGTTATTATATTATAAAATAATATTCTTCTATTATACATAAATTTAAATCATACATCATATGTTATACATTATATTATTATTATTCTTATATTATACATAATATTATACCCTATTTTTATATTATTATTATTATCTTAAACATAATATTATACTCTGTGTTTATTATTATTATTATTATTATTATTATCTTATACATAGTACTATACCCTATTTTATATTATTATTATTATAATTTTCATTATCTTATACATACCATTATACCCTATCTATATATTATCATTATTATCATCTTATACATAATATTATACCCAATTTTATATTATTATTATAATTATCTTATACATATTATTATACCCTATTATTATTATTATTATTATTATTATTATTATCATATACATAATATCACCCCCTATTTTATATTACACATTATTATTATTATTATTATTATTATTATTATTATTATTATTATTATTATTATTATGCATGATATTATATTATGAATCATTAGATTGTTATATATTATTATTATATTATACCAACCTGGGTCTTACATTAAATTACATCCGACAGAAAGGCTTATGATGGGGAAGTTTTGAGGGGTGTGAAACCACCTCGTAATTGGTGTTGTTCCAAAGCCCACCCTGATTCGTGGTGGTAGCACCTGTTAGGATCACAGCTATGGGCAAATAGTTAATCCCCAGACTGGGGTCAAAGTATTATGAAAGTGTAAGCATTTTTACAGTAAAAATACCAGCGATAAATTTTTGTGAAAAAAAAAAGAGAAAATTACCAGTAATGCATTTTTTGATAAAAAAAATTAACAAAAATACATTTATATAAAAGAAATTACTAACACCCCCAAGAAACTTAAATTTCAGCATTAAATGACCCATAAGGAATTGATGTGCCGCTAAACAAACAAACATTATTATATTATACATTATATTATATATTATGTTCATACATTATATTATATAAAACATTATTATTATATTATACTAGCTTAAAAGCATTTCCTTTTTTATATATATATATATATATATATATATATATATATATGTATGTATGTATATATGTATATATATATATATATATATATATATATATATATATATATATATACATATATACATATATATATATATATATATATATATATATATATAAATGTAAAAGAGAACGAATTGAATATCAATTTAAACGTTCACAACATTAATTTACAATAGGGCTCAATACAATAGTAGAGGTGTAATATATATATATATATATATATATATATATATATATACATATATATATAAAAATATTTGTGTGTGTGTGGGTGTGTGTGTGTGTGCGATAGCTAAATTTTCGGCATTTGTATATTTTTAATTTTGCATGTGTGCATTGTTTGTTTTGGACTTTGTCGACTGCTGGACACCATCTGTGAGGTTGGACACCATCTGTGAGAAAAAGAGCACAATGACGCGATTCACTCCCTCAGAAATTTGGAAACGGCATGCTTTACTGCTTGGCATTCTCACCAGAGCCTCCGCTACGAAAATTTCAGTGTGTTTGGGTGTCAATTAGTGACAGTGAAGAGGATTCGAAAAGAGTTAGATGAGTCTAATGGTGATTAAGAATGTATTTGGAGTGATGTCGACGTTATCCCTCGATTCATCTTCATACAGTGCTTCAGACTCAACACGGAATCCTACATCAAGTGCGTTGAAGAGGTAGTGTTGCCTTGGGTCAAGAGCGTGGTTGCTGGATGGCCTTAATCTGGTAGCAGGACTCAGCACCATGCCACACAAGAAGGAGTACCCAGTTATGGCTGTCAGACAATTTCTACGACCAACTTACTCTAACACCCTAGACTGCAATCCCCTTGATTATTATGTACGGGGCGCAGATGAGCGACAGACTAACAAAAATCCTGGTAACAATAGGATGAACTGAAGTCAAGGGTTATGACAGCATTCACCAACTTAAACAAGGAGACCGTCAA